TGGCGGGGCCCGGGCGGGAGAGGGAGGCTGGAGGGCGATCGGGTGGGTGCGGGATGGACGAAAGTCTGGGGACAGAGCTCGGCGAGGCCGGGGCCGAGTCCAGGAGAGGGCGGACCTTTCCTGGGCTTATAGCAGAAGGGGGCCTGTCACATGGTGTGCGCGTCAGAGCGCGGCCGAGGAAGGGAAGAAAGCCGAGGGACGCAGCCCAGCTCCCGAGAGAAAGTTCACCCGTAGGAGGGGGCAGCTGAGGGGAGAAAGAGAGAGGACTCCATCCTTCCTTGCTAAAGAGGCTGAGATCCAAATCTCCCAGTGGCTACCCTTGGTGGTCCAGACTGATGGCTACTGCACCAATTAGAGTCCCCTGGACCCTGACTTCAGAAGCACTGGGCCACTGTAGGGCCCAGGGAGCCTTCCATTGGGGCGGGGCGCGCGGGGTGGTGGCTTCTGAAGCTGTTTTAGGGAATGACCCTGGGGTCTCTTGGGGTGTCCCAGATCCCTAAGACTGGGTGAGTGGTCCCCCACCGATTCGGATTAGAAGCTCTCCAGTTTAAGCACAATAATAATTGTTTATTGACCCTTTAACCCGTCTCCTTTCGGTTCTTCTCCAAAGACGTTTGTTTCCCACCATCTGTTAATAAAAATGTTGGTAGGCCAGTGTTTTAGTCACTTATCCGCATCTGAATCCTCTAGAGACTCGACAGTTAAACTAAGCCCCTTTAATGAGAATGCCTGACAAATATTGTGGGAACAAAGAAGAAAGTAATAGCTGAATGCAGAGCAAGGCACTTAAAATGTTAACAAATACTCAACCATATATTAAAAACATTGCACTTAGGATCGCCTCCTCCCAAAAGTTCTTTCTTGGAAAAGAATGTCTTCATGGGGCTAAGCCTACAGGTCTCAGTGCTAGAGCATTCTAATCAACACTTCACCAGCTCTCAAAATATCCCAATTGCTGTAACATGCACACATCGCTTCTGAAACCAGAGCCAAACCCATTGCCACTGAGTCGACTAGGCAGGCTTAATCATACAAACTATAATAATAAATAAAAACTTTTAGATCAGCTTTTTAAAATGTCCTTTTGGAAAATCCACGAAATATTTCCAATAGCTCCTGGTGAAAAGAAACGGAGTATTTTAGACAGCAAGATTTGAGTTCCATTCGGTCATATTTTTTCAAAGGGCAAGATAGGGCAAAGAGGTCTAGCGTGCCATTTGAAGCACATCTCTTTGTAGGGTGACTATCTGCCCGCACGCAAGGCTTGATGGCCACGAGCTTCCATTTGAAGCGCTCTGAAAGCATCCCTGGTGGCAGAAAGCATCGGGTAGGCCGGGTAGGCCGTTGGGCTGCTAACCCAAAGGCCAGCCTCTGCAGGAGAAAGCGGAGACTTTCTACTCCGTAAAGATTCACAGGCTGGGAAACAAAAAGACAGTTCTACTCTGTGCTACAGGCTGGCAAAGGAGCAGAACTGACCCCACAGTTCCTTGAGCGGGTGGAGAATCCTGAGAGTTCGTGGTCTCCACACACTTGGAATCCATCCACACCTAACGGAACTTTCTGGATATTTACGTTTCCCAAGGTGACTCTTTTTCGAAACTGGGCCCTTGTGTCAAACGTTAGCTTCCATTTTCAACGACGACTTGACAGGAACTGAGACTGGAAATGAAGTTTTCTGAGGCACAATCATCACCTGCCCTTGTTTACATCCTGTTATTAACCCAGTACTTTTCACGCTTTGAAACGTTCCATTACTTCCTTTGTCAATCACAGTGCCTCAAAATTAAACTCACCTATCTAAGCCTTTTTCTTGTTAAGCCGGGTTTTTTTTACTTTTGTCCTTGAGAATGGCTACCACCAATTACATTTACAAATTACCCGTAAAGTCGATCGTTGATCTCTTAATGATCTATGAGAACGCTTTCATGTTCTAAACACATTATTTTTCATTGGCTTTCGTTTGATATATGGCTGGGCCATTTAATTGTTATAATAGGTTCAGCACTAACCTGGGTCAACATTAATCAGCGCTATTAATCAGCCACCACATCGCTTTGTTGATGTAGCCAGGAGTCCTTCCCAAGAAGTTCACCTTTTACATCGGAAAGTTTAAGTACTCACTCGAATCTAAATAAACACCACGGGGTTCGCTGGTCTGGAGGGCCAATGTGCACTGGAGAAATTGGAGATGAAGCGGACGGAGAGGAGTTGTGTGCAAACCCTAAGCTACTCCCTACTCCTTTACGGCCTTGAAGTTGCCTGGCCAACAAGGGCGCGGCGGGGAGCTCTGCGTCCCGTGGGCAACTTTGTCCACGGGTCCCTCTTCCAAACGGTTAAAGGGCTCTTCCTTGAACGTTTAAAAACGTGACAAATGCCCACCTGGTCACTCAGAGGAAAGTGTTGGGATTCGATGGCGGTCTGAGCCCAAGATCGAACCAGAGGGACCGCAGCAGGGGTGGCGAGGGGTGGCGCGCCCGCTTTGCTGAAAATGCACTAGATTAGTAGTAGCGATTAGGGTTGGAGCGATAGTAAAGTCTCACTGGGGGCTTTCCGCTTGCTCGGTTTGGTGTGGTGAATGAGCTCCAGGTCCTGCGAGCGCTCGTAGCTCCGCGCTCGGCAAGTGCCCCGCGGATCCCTGCTCGCCCGTTGGCCGCCCTGATCTCCTACCCGCGGACCTCGCTCTCCGACGCGCTCCCTGCTCTCGGCAGCGGCCGGGAGCCCCCAAGCCCACTAGGTGCAAGGACGGGGATCCGCGCTCCCCAGGGACCGGGCGCCGTGGGGCAGCCCGCGCGCCGCTGGCCCCGCTAGCACGCACGGGGCACCGGGCGAGGTTGGGCGCCGGCCGGCGGGGCGCGGGGGCGGGCTGCCCCCTGCCGTCAGCGCGGCGCCTTGCAGGCCCCGCCGCGAGCGGCCGGGCGGTGGATTCTCCAGTCCGCAGCTCCTTCTCTCGGCCCCCGGGAGGGCGCCGAGGTCGTTCCGTGGGCTGCAGCGGCGCCCCCGCCCCAAGGGCTGCTTCGAGAGACCGCTTTGTGCCCCGCCTTGCGGGCGGTGGAAGCGGACTCAGCTCGCTGCCAACGCGTGCGTTCTGGCCCGTGGCACTGGAAGATGAAAAACCGGAGCAGAGCAGACCCGGTGTGCTGAGGGTAACATTCCGTAGCAGCCCCGGGAATACCCCCAGTCGCTGCCCGCTGCCCTGCGGCGTGTGCACCTGCCGTGCTTTTTACAAAAAGCAGGAACAAACACTCAAGTTTCTGGAGGCCCCAAACCAAGCTAACCAAAAAAAAAACAAACAAAAAAACAAACGAGGTCTTGTGGGTTATTTAATCTCCCCGAGTCTGCCCTGCATGCAGCAGGTACTGTAACCGCGCCGAAATCCTCAGAGGAACCCCATTGTCCTAGCAGTGTGCACACCCTCTAGGGGAGGCCTCACTGTGCCTGCGGATTCTGGGTGTGTGTCACCTTCAGCTTGCTCGGTGTTGAGACTTTCAGAACCAGATGCTGCCTACTGTCTTGTTTCTTTAAAGCAAAACAAAAAGGGCCGGGGGGGGGGGGGGGGGGGGGGGGGTGTGTGTGTGTTAAGGCTCTACCTGAATTAGTTGAAGAGAAAATTGTGCGCCCTCGCCACTATGCCCTTTTTATACCTTCTTACCTGTTCCAAACTCCAAGATGACCTTTAAAAGATATCCTAGGTCGCCCAGGATCCCCACTCCAGCATGCCCTGTGGCAGACGAAGTCATCCAGGGATTGGTTCACAAGTGCCATCAAGCTAGTTTTAAGGTCACGACAATCAACCAAGATGTGATGGCTGAGGACACGGCTTGGCTTTGAGGGTTGCTGCCAACAGTAAGGGGTGGGGTGGGCCCTGGTGCCAGAGTCCAAGAGCCTTCCTTCAGCCTGTTCCTGGTGCTGCAGCCTCTCCCAAGCCAGAGTCCTCTTGCTCTCCCCACCCCCAACCTGCTTCCCCAGGGCCCCAAGGTCAGACGGCAAGGTTTGCTGGGCCACTCACAGGAGTAGGTACATTGTAAGCCAGGCCTCCGTTGATACAGTGCTTTCATCCTGGTGGAGGGCGGGTTATGGCTGCGGAAGAAGATACTTGAGCAGCCTCCTGGGTCTCCCGATGCAGCCTGGGCTCCTGAGGCAAGCACTTTGTGGCCCAAGCAAGATTCCGAAATCCTCAAGAATTTAGACTGTCAGCAAAGGTCTAAATCTGTTGGAGAAGAAAAAAATCACTTATACTGACTCAGGAATTTTCCTGACCACAGTGGACTTGGCCTGCACTCCTGGCCCAACACAGACTCGTTCAGGTCCAACTCCCAAACTGCAGTGGTACCCGTGGACACTTGGCGCCTCCCAGTCACACGCTCCCAGTCTTAGTAGCAGTGGGTTGAATACCACTGAGGCCCATCTCCAGTCCAGAGAGGAGGCCCCCTTCCTCCGGGGACTCCCTGTGGTGCTAGGCCTTCACGCTGTGCCTTGGCCATGCTGGGCTCTCCAATATGATTTGTATTGCTTCATAAAGTAGCTTCCTAATTTATAAATTATCAAGGGTTCATGAAGGAGGGGGAGCTGGGAGGGAGGAGAAAAATGAGGACCTGATGCCAGGGGCTTAAGTGGAGAGCAAATGTTTTGAGAATGATGAGGGCAATGAATGTACAAGTGTGCTTTGCACAATTGATGTATGTATGGATTGTGATAAGAGTTGTATGAGCCCCTAATAAAATGATGTTTTTTAAATCGGCTTCCTGGAAATAGACTTGGTGTTTTTCATCATAAGAAGAATTGAAAACATACTATTCCCTAGTCTAGAAACAGTACGTTCGGCAGGGGCTGTCTATGAAAAGAAACCCCCTTAGCACATGTACAAATCTCCCTGCTTGAGAAGGGCACCCTCAAGCCATTCTAGGGGCGCAGCTGTCTGATGGACACATACATGAAAAGAGATGCTCATGAAGTCCCAAGAAGCCTTCTCATCAGTTGGAGTTTGTTGGCTATTGTTAACCAACACACACACACACATTATCTAATACTCAGGCTTAAACTAAGTAAAAATGAAATCCTATCTCCTCTCTGCTATAGTTCCTATACTTGTGCATCCAGATATCCACCCTCTGAGTGGCCTCACTGAGCACTGAGTGGCCTCACCCTTCACCTGACCTCACTGAACTGACACCAAGCTGGAGGCCGTGGGTTCAAGCGCAGACACTGGTGCCTCTGCAGACGATAGTCTCAGTATTTTTCAATGGAGAGGTGAGCCCAGTGGCTTTGCTAGAAAGCTTTGGTTGGCTAGTCTTCCAGAGGAAGAGGGGGGCGGGGGGAAGGATGGAGAAAGAGCTGAACCCAAGATTTACATAAAAATTAATGCAAATAATCAATGTGACCGAGATATGCAAATAAAGGAAGAAGTGAGGTGTCCTTTTCCTGTATGGAGTTA